CCCTAAGGTTATTATGGTCCTTGATAATGTGTGGATTATAGAGAATGGTGAGAATCGTATAGTGCAAATTTTGAGATTTTTTTAGTTTTCAACAGTGGAAGTTTTATCAGATGCAAGGCTTATATACCTCACTCTTTACATTTGGATCGTCTTTTTTGGATGGTAATTTGAATAACATTTGGAGTTCTTATTGGTTTTGCACATTGTATTTTTTTTAGCAGTGTACCACGTATAATTTGACAATTTGGAGCTTAAATTAAATGTCTTATTTCATTCGTGGTGATTATGTTAAGATTCTTGTTAAGTTAAATTGTTGCAATTGCACCACAAACCAAGAGAAAGACTTCTCGAACTGAACAACCTTAGTGATGAAATGGTCTTCTATTATGCAGGGGCTAGGGATCACAGTATTTGGAACTGACATACATATCGTTCACGATGGTTTGGTTTACAAAAGATTCTCGGTTGGACCTGTGGCCAATGTACATTATCTTAGGAAGGTGACTGCAACTCATTCGCTAATTTTAATCACACTTAGTGCGAGGGTTAAGTAATACATTAATATTAGCGGTTGGCAAGATATTCTAATGCATTTGTTTGATATCTGAATTTGCAGCTTCATCATTCAGAGAAGTTCAATGGTGTCCCATTGGCTTGTTCTTAGGACCTAAGTTAATAAGAATTGTAAAATTACACAGAACAGTGTTTCGATAGTAAACAAAAGTAATACTATTACAACATAAGAGGAAAATCTAAGAATGGATTAATGATGATTGATGCAAGAACTATGGATTAATGGTGATTGATGCAGGAACTGGAAGAAGTAGGGGTGATGGAGGAGTTGGAAAAGGAAGTAAATCGAAGGACAACTTTCAAAAGGATCATGAATGATTGATCACATTGTTCATAAGCATAAAAGTCATTTCACAATTCTTATCGATTGAGGAAGGGGATTTGTGATGTATTTGACTGTAGAGAAAATGTAACTCTATTGATGAAATGAATTTGTATTTATTTGGGATCTTATTCAGTAAGAAAAAAATATTATATTATTTTATTATATATTAGAAGCTTTTGTATATATGCAATGTCTTGCTCTCTTTTTTTTTTCTTTTTCTGTTGCCAATTCAAGGCTAAAAAGAAAGAAGGATGTTGATGTCCTCTTTTTTTTTTTGAGCGGCGTTTATATACCTCACTTTTTATAATTGGATAATCTTTTTTGGTTGGTAATTTGAATAAACATTTGGAATTCTTATTAGTTTTGCACATTGTACTTTTTTTAATAGTATATATTGCAATTGGTAAAATATTGTTAGTTTTTCTTCTTCATTGTTGGAAAAATAATTATGTGCATGGGAGTTTCAATACTTCTTGAATAGTTTGACATCCATTTCCATGTTTTAATTATTGATATTACTTGTCTTTTGCAAGTATTCATCCTAAACTTCTCCACACGGTGGTGTTAGGAATGATAAAAAAGTTATTTGCTAAGTTGATGCCTACAACTTTTACTCATTGAAAATGATGAATACATATTGTAGATAAAAGAATCCAATGATACATGTATAATGATGTACATATGTGTGATAGTATTACATCAAAATCCAATATATTGGGCATCGCTTATCTAGTAGTTACAATAAATGGTATCACCAAATTAGTACGTGTTATCTGTCTCCGAGGATATCTTTTTGTGATTGACCTCATTATTTGTTCTCTTCTCCCCCTCAAAAGAAGATGTGACTTTTAAAAACTCTTCCAATTCTTTCATTCCATTTTGCACATTAATCTTCACTTATCTAGGTTAATATTTTATAATAAAAATACTTAAATTTTGTGTTAAGAAAACATGTCTTTGTATCTTAGTTACTTTTTTGGAAAAAATACATAAATAAGCAAATTATTTTATCATACTTTGAAATTTCATACCATTTGAAAAAATTATTAAAATTTATACTCTTTCCTATTATCGGATACATAACTCTTACGCAACGTATTGGGAAATGAAGTATCGAGACAAGTGTGTCTTATATCAACAAAGGTAATGTATAGGGATGTGATGTATCGGAACGTTGAGCGATGTATCGAGACATGTGTGTCTTGTATCAACAAAGCTAATATATCGGGACACGATGTATTGAACGTTGAGTGATGTATCTCAAATTGGGACGCGATGTATAGAGACGTTGAGTGATGAATCCAAAACCGAAACACGATGTATTGGAACGTATCCGAAATCCTTCAATCTTTAGGAATTTTTGCAATTTGAAAATGAATAGAGATAGGATGTAATTAGTTATTAACACTATAAGATTTGTGTAAAATATACTTTTGTTTTTCTTTCTGAATCTATATTATTTGAACAATCCAACATTTACAAATGAATTCAGCCCACTTTACTTGTCAGTAAGCCCAATCAATTGGGCTGATAAACAGGCCCATCGCTCAAAACTGCTACATCCACAAGTCTAATGATGAATAACAATACAACATGTCAACGACTAATTTAAGGACCATATTAGAAGAAGACTTCAGTAGAATCATATATAACTTATCCCAACTAATTTGATGTTGAAACATAATCAATTAATTGTTTAGTGGATATTAACATACAGAGTGGTCAATTTTGCATTTCATTCATATTTTTCTCAGTTTCAACCTACAGTAGATGGATCGTTGGATCAATTGAATTCCCTTCGTCCGAAAAGTTATACGGCATAAATAAGATAAAAATAAAATCTATGATATATATCTAAGGCCTAAGGGGTCGTTTGGTAGGGGATATGAGATAGATAAAGTTATCCTATGGATTAAGATATCTCATGAAGTTATTTATCCCATCATATATGTGTGATAACTTATCCCATCATTATTGTATAAATGATGAAATAAATAATCTTTGGACTAACTTATACCCCTATTCTGCTCCCTGAAGGTGTGTTGGTGCCACCAGCTTCTGCAACAATGACCTGCACTCGACAATTAAGTTAGTATATAATGGTTGGTCATTTATTATATAAACAACAAGAATTCTGAATTGATTTCAATCCTACCAAACACATCCTTAATTCGATCGTGGTAACATGCTCTGTTCAATCAATTTATAATAACCAAACAGATTTAGAATTGCTAGGAAATTTTAGGGTAACTAACAAGTTCTTCTACTTGTAACTTTTACCAAGGTCAACCATCTTTGCTCATGAAAAGTCAATCAATAGCCTCATGAAACATGCCAAATGGCTTTTATAAATCATTGTCCAATAGCAATTCTAGAGCTTACTCAACCTTAACCAAAATTCTTTATTCCTTATGGTGCAGCCTCACAAAAAAGTAGTGGTATTTGTCTGCATTTTTGTGTTAAATTAGGTGCCAATTTATTCCTCAACTTCACATCATGTCAACATTATCACTCATGATTACTTAAGCTTTTCAGATAGTGACAACTTTTAACAAAATATTCTCATTCGGGCGTTCCTTAATATTTTATATTACCACAGTTTTCTGCGGCAAATATAACATACTTTTTAATTGGTGATGGTTAAAGTGATGTGATGCTCACTTTAATTTATACTTCCTCTGTCCACTTTTAATTATCATGTTATGCTTTTCAAAAATCAATTTGACTAATTTTTAAAGTTAAATTAGATTACATTGATTCGATATTTAAAAAAAAAAATAGATATTCAAAAACTATACAAAAAGTACTATAAATTGCAATTTTTTGCATATGAATATGATGGAAAAAGGAAACCATGACAATTAAAAGTGGACGGAGGTAGTAAGTGCTAATATTAAATTGAGAAAGAGAAACCTTTGAAACCATGGATGCTAATATCGTTTGACTCTAAAAAAGGTAAGGTTATTAATGAGTCCCGAGTGACCGGATCACAGATTCAAGCCACTGACCTATGGATCACAGATTCAAGCCACTGGAATCAATCATTGATGCTTACCCTCTGTCCCGGACTCTATGTGACCGTGTATCCTTTTTTCAAGGTTAAATTGGTGTTAACACGTATTTGCCATCAAAAGTCCTTGGCTTTATTCCTACTCGTAATTCCTAGGCAATGAATAAATTTTCCCTTTTGTACTACAATTGAAACATGGGAGAGTTAACTTTATCTTCCAAGATCGTGAGAATGCAGCAAACAAATGCATACCCCCCTCTGAAGCAAGATAAAAGTGACAAGCAAGTCCAGCTAGTATCAGTTTACATGTGGAACCAATCCCACACAAATTATTAAGTTTCAACACTTCTACAACAAACATAGCAAGTCATACTAGTCTTTACAAGAAAAGAGTTTCTCATAGCCCTCTGAGTTGTTTTTTATATGCCTTACTTGAGTCGAAGGTATCGATAACAACTTCATACAACCCTCTGAGAACCCACTCATGGGATTACATTGGCTACGTTGTTGTTGTCGTCGTCAAAAAGAGTTGTGCAAATTATGAAGAACAAAAGAGAGAGTTCCTTATAGTTGAGACAAGTTGACAAACATAAATGCAGAAATCAACATAAATGAAGCAACTTGGCATATCTGAAAAACAGAGAAGCACATTGCCACCTTAAAGAAAAGAGCCCCAAGAACTGATCTTTTTAGCTTTCTTTCTTAAAGTGAAAGATGACATTGGACAAATAAAAGCAATGAGAAAAGACAACAACAACATACCCATTGATATTCTACAAAGTAGGCTATGGAGAGGGTAGAGTGTATGCAGTCTTTTTCACTCCTTACCACTACCTCTCTGAGATAAAGAGACTGTTTCTGAAGACCTCGGCTCAAGCAAATCAAAGCAATAATGAACAAAAAAGAAGGTAGTGGGCACAAACATGACAATAAAGAGACTGTTTCTGAAGACCTAGGCTCAAGCAATTCAAAGCAATAATGAATAAATAAGAAGGTAGTGGGCAGAAACATAGCAAAGTTGTGTGGCGCATATATGCAAGAATCGTAACAACAACAACAACAAGGTAAACCACAGATGATCAATGAGAAAGATTGGATCTTGAAATTCAAATTGCATTAGATAAATTCAGATATTTACATCCAAATTCAAGTAGATAACCTAGGCCTAAAAAGAAAGCTAAAGAGTTGCAAATTAGATAGCAACTTAATTTCCACCAGCCCTAATTACATCAAGATTATATTCAGATAAAATCAACAATGCTTCCAGTTAATCAATTAACCTAAAACTTAACTTCCCATTTTTCGTTCATCCATATTGAACATGCAAATTATTTACTTTAGACATAACTACCGCATACCAAATCCATGTTTACCATGAACACATCCAGGCCTATTAAAAACATAAGGCGCCTTTCTGGATTTGTTCATCTTGGAACAAGCCCTTTTCCCCAATTTCCTAATCCTTTGTCTCCCAAGTTTATCACTCAACCAATTTGGCACCAACTCATCATCCAAATCATAGTCATAATCTTCTTCTTCCTCTTCCTCTTCCTCTTCCTCTTCATCGTCCTCCTCCTGATCATCATCACGAGAAGTATCATGATGATTGAACCCAACAGGGCAAACCACCAATGCATCAATTGTTTGAACTGGCGACGGAGATCCCGATTCTGCTTCCGATTTCATCGAGATATCAGAAGATGGAGACCCAATTTCACATGGGTCATCTTCTTTTAACATCAATTCAACATCATCATCAGTTTGATCAGTGAAGGAGTAGCTGTCTTCTTGTTCATCATCAGAAGGGTTAACAAATTCCCACGAAGACAATTCATCAAACAGATCATGGGCATCAATTTCTGACTCTGATCTAACAACCATTGTTGCTGATTTTGAAATTCTGAGATTTTTTCCAAGGATTCTCAACATATTGGCTTCTGATTTTCTTGAAAATTGGTAAGGGTTTGTATTGAAGTAGTTTACTTGAGGAGGAGTTTTTTCTTTGTAAAATGAGAAGAAGAAAATGCGTACAAGTAATAAAGGAGAGCAGTTGAGGTGACGTGGCGGTTTTGGTTTGGTCCACCTGTTTATTTGCTGCATTTCTATTGGTTGAGTTACGTGTCGTTTACTAGAATATATCGAACGGTATCGTCTAATAGAATAAACCGAAATGTTAGGATGGAATATCCAAAACGGTGCCGTAAAACACGAAACGTGAAACAATAGAAACCAAACAATTTTTTTCTTCTAGTAGGATTTAGATAAGTTTGACCCAAGAAATGTGGAGAAGGGAATTAGGGAAAGATAGAAGAAATGAAAAGGGATTTAACTTGAATGGTGGAAATAATTTGTATATTTTTTTAATGTAGTTAACGTGTGGTAACAAATTGTTTGTTTTAATATTTCAAATAATATCTTTGAATAGTCAATCGTTCGGTTAGAATGAGATTAATATTGATTTTTATTGACTGTATAATTTGTTGTATTAAAAATAACATGCATAATTTTTAAGAAGTTATTTGTTTATTAGAATACTCTCCTCTTTATTAATAGAAAATGAAGTTCAAAAGACCACTATCTCTATTATTGTCCATCTTAGTTTGACCCTTGACGAAAGATGGAAGAAGAAAAGATTAGGATTTAAAATTTATATAACGTAAATATATTTTATATCCTCCTTGTAATTTTACATATTTATCACATTTTGAAAATAGTTTATATAGGGAAAGTAATTAATTTCACTTGTTATGGACGATGATGACAAATATTGTTGACGAGAGTAAAAAATCATGATTTGATTAATCGTGTAAATTTAACAATAAGATTTCGAATTTAAAGTCCACGTAATGGAAATTTCTACATATTAATTAACAATAATGTAGTATCCATATTTACTAATTGGTAATATCTGCAAATCTTTGAGGAAATGCACATGTAAAATCAGAACTATGAAATTCCCATATATCTTGTTATAAGGGTTCAAAGATATTGCATCAAACATGATTTACAAATCAATAAAGTTTGAAATTCTAAATCCGCCTCTTATGCTCCACGAGAGGATAGATGAAATGTTCATAAATTTTCATTCAATTAGTTGATATCAACATACTGTGTTATTTGCTTTAGATTAAACTTAGATACACCGATAGCATGAGTAAGCATTTTTACACCATCATGTCAGGCAGAAAATATCTGTGGCAAATGATAAAATAAAAATTCACAGGACAGAATAAAAGTTCTTCCTGGTACATGTGCAAGCGGGAGGTAGCAGGTACCCGTGCAGGCTGGCTAGGACACCACGGTTATAAAAAAACAAAAGGTAGTAAAATAAAATACCAGGAAATACAACCAAGACATGCAATTTGAGTTTTAGACAGCAGGGATAGTAACTGCATACACCAAGCAAAAACAATGTGGAATGAAGTAGCTAATTCATAAAACTGTGGAGCTGTTCGCCTTAGGAAAATACATTTGCAGTCAACAAATATATACAGAAAATAGCTTCACATATGAATGATCTACTGGTAACTAAATCAAAAGAGTTTATATACAGAAAGTAGCTTCACATATGAATGTTCTACTGGTAACTAAATCAAAAGAGTTCCCAGCATGCAGTTTGTTGCAAGTGAGGTCACCAGTTCAATCGTTAACTATGAAAGAAAAACCAATTGATAGATTTCATTAACAAAGGACACAGTACAGTTCCACCAGTTTACAATCGATTAATGCAGGCTATGCAAATCCAATTACAAAATTCCAAAACTGCAGGGCTACATTGTGGTATTGCACTCTGAAAAACTCACGATTTTTTCGGATTTACAGGTAGAATATACAAGTGACCGATTAGGAGTCAGAAGAAGAGAAATTGGATAAAAGCAAGACATGAGAGGAGAAAAGGGATGATACAAACGATGGGACAAAAATGGAAGATGTTAAACATGATAGGGACCTCATACCTCAAGGGTGTCCATTGTGGATCTCAGTTTGCTTTATAAAGGCTGCTGCTCAGTAATGCATGGTAAAAAAATGATAATATATCTTTTTCATATAAAGAATGTGGACTTATGGTACCTCCAGGTGCAATTACTAGTTTACTACAATGTCTCAACCTTGGAGTACTCTGACAATCTCCCCTGCTCTTGACTCAATACCTTTCAGATACTCAATCAGAACTCGCTGCTGATACGAGCCGCCCTCCTGAGAGAGTAAACCACGTCAACAACCATTCAATGAGTGCCAGAAAGCAAAATTCAACTATTGAATCCCTACCGTACGTATCAAAGTCCGTTCCATTCTCTTCTTAATAACAGTATACAATTCCTCAGGCGAAATATCACCTTTTCCAAGAGTCATGCCATCTAGCAAGAGCTTGTTCCATACTTCCTCCGGTGCTGTATCAAAGGGATAAGTGAATTTCATGAGAGGTGAATAACATTTGAGGCAATCGTAAAGTTCAAGTCAAAATATTTGATGGTAAATGGACCGTAGAGAGTGAGTAAAAGCTTTTCACACTCCATAATGGGAGATAAGTCATGTCTGTCCGATTCCAATGGCAACTAACAAATTCATTGCCTCTAGAGAGTCTAATTGGTCCATCTGTTACCCCTAAAAAGATGCATTTTACCCTTGTGGTATCTGAAACTATAGGTTACATTCGTCTGAAGAGTTAGGGCAGTGCCCTCTGAGGATTAGTCTCTCACCCCCAACCAACTCAACACCTATTACACCACCTGACCTCCATTAACAAAGCTCAAAAACCTCCACCCATGGTTGCTGAGCAGATCATCCATTTCCGTTCCTCTCATATAGTTTGCTTATTATGCCTCATATCAGTTTTTGATTTCTTTTGCTCCATGTTATCTATATGAGGCTTTATCAGTATCTGAAATACACCTTTGATGGCAAACTGAGAAGGCAATCCATGGAACGTGAGAGAGGCGCATGTTGAGGAATTGATTAAACAAATATGAGGTGGTCTCACAATTGGAAAACTATGAATCCCGTGATGCCGGTTTGTAATAAGCTCACAATCGAGAGATACCTTTGATAATGGTCTCAAGAAACTGTTCAGCTTTTAACACTTCATTTCCTGCACGAAAAGCAAATCCAGGATTAGTAACTATATATTCTTGTTTTCAGATTGAACATCTGGGCAAACCAACTCATGGACCTATACTTTTCTAGTTGCAACGGATTTATTCCGTATGGCCTAGAAAATAAATAGAAATTGGTCATCACTACAATTAAGTGAAATGAAGTTAAGCAATAAAGAGACCTTTTTTTGCATAACTTCGCTTTGACAGCACTCTGGAAGCATACAATTGCAGAACCTTTTGTAACATAGCTTCAAGTCCTGGCTTGTCTCCATCTTTTGTAGCCTACACAGTAGAAAACTTAGTATAATTATCCAATCTCTGTGAATTTTTTCTTCATATAATAGATTCCAAGAAACATAGCTGTGAAAGAAACTGCACTACAGAGATCATTCTTCATATAATAGGTTCTGCTTGTGACTTGAAAACATTGTTTTGCTAAATCATGCTTAAAAATAATTTACAGCAAGAAACAAGAAGGGGTGAATTTATTATTAGGGGGGCCATCAGGGAAGGCAAGAAAATTTGAGGAAGTGAGTCTGACAAACGAAGACGTATTAAAAGAAGGAGGCCGTGGTACGGTAGGAGGCCATTTCTATTTTCAAATATGCTAGTTAGGAAACATTACACCAGATAACTAGTTAGAATCTTTTTAATTCCTAGGAATTTCTTATAACCAAAAGACGCATGTTCCACTTAATACATTCTTTTTGTCCAGTACTATAAGTCATTTTGCTTATTGGGTATGTGTCTCTAGCTGCCCCGACAGATTGCTCTCTTTAGCAATTCGCATACATGAAAGAGAGAGAATTCTGGAGTCCAAGTTATAATCTTCAATTTCAGCAGAAGGTTCTCCATGTCAATGGTAATCTGCCTCCCTGAAGAGAGAGAGAGAGAGAGAGAGAAAACAAACAACAAAATATGCATGGAACTAAATGACAAGGCCTGCACACAAAGATCCAGAGTAAACTTAAACCAAAAAAGAGAACTGGGCATTAAAATTAACTCAAATAGACTCACTTGCCGCAGTTGTGCATTGACTTCTGCGAGGAACCCTTCATCAAGTTGGCCTTCTTGCTCCCTTTGATTTATTTCCTGAATGTTAAAGAAAACAAAAACACTTACAACACATAGCCATAAATAAAAAGAAGTCATACATAAAAAAAAAAGAAATTCACGTACAATAGACTATATAAACACTCAACAGAACTCTAGCATAGTTTTGTTTTGATAAGTAAGAACTCTAGCATAATTCTATTACTCAACCTCCTTCTTGAGCCCCCTTAGTTTTATAAGATGATGCTCACTTCAAGTCTTGACTCTGGCATGGCATTACAAAAGAGTTCACTTTGAAAACTATCTCAAATAAGACAGGATGAGAAGACATACTTTCTCCATAAGACTGAGAGCCTCAGGATCCCTAAGAGGCCAAGATATTTCTTCCACTTCATCAATCACTGGTTTTAAGATTGCTTTGAGCACGTCAGTAGATGCCTCTATCTTTTCCTGCCAGGAGAAAGAAAATGCCATCAGAAACTGTCTGTTGCTCATATGAAAATAAAGCATAAAAAGTATTACTATTGTGGTCATAAGCACCAAATAAACTTTCTATTATATGGCAGGGTAAATGAGGGTTGAGAATAGAAAGAGAAGAAAAAGGAGAGACATGCTATCTGCGTGAGATGTAAGGAAGATTGAACACAAATTACTCATCCTATACTCAAATCTTATCATACAAAAATACTCAAGAAATTTCTTTTCTTAGCTTTTGCTATTAGTTATTTTTATTGATCATGTGGCAAATACAAGGTATGTCTAATGACACTAAAGGGATCTCAACCATGGCGTGAATTTTTCCATGGGACTTCACACTAATAGGACAAAAGGAAAATCCTTGACAATTTCTCCTCATTGTTCATCTCCATCTCTCCAATTACATGTACAGACCTTAATCTATATGCTAAAGAGAAGTTACTTGTGATCAGGTAGGGACCAAAAATACATACACTTGGTATGTGTAGT